GGTCCAAGGGAAAAACATAGCAAGCGCTAATTTTTCAATTTTAGGGTTTTATATTAATTATAATAGGTGTAACTGGTCCCTACAAAATGTATAAACTCTGCCGGGCAATAAGCTATGTCTAGTAAAAATATACATTCAGGGACAGAATCTTTTTTATTTCTTAATTTTTGAGCTAGTTAAAGATATTCGTGGAGGGCAGGAAAAAATTGTAATATTTTGGGGGAGGTGGAATACATACATATTCATTGTAAATTTATTTTTTAAAATCACCAACTTCTTGTATTATTACTATAGTAACAACAACTTAAAACATTTTATTATAGTGGATTTACAATTATTACTTTTGTAAATTCACAAAGCGTTAGTAAATATTAATAAATTTATTAAAACACGTGTTTATAATTATACAGAATTTATATATGTAAGATACTCATTATCATGTCTTCTTGTTTAGAAGAGCCTTACTGGAATTCTGAGACTAATCAAAATAGAAACAAAATTGCCATTAGATGCAAAATAAAAAAACATGCAAGAAAAAAGGTAGGTATCTAATTAAAACAGCCAATTTACCAACTTGGAGACTATGGATGTATAGAGTCCTCTATTAAATTTCTCCTCCGAAACACAGTCTGAAAGAATAATAATACTTGAGATATCTATGTTGTTATAGAGAGACCATGGAACAATTATGTTTACATAAAAAAATCGCTAAAATTAAAATCCAAATAATTATAATAAATGGAGATTGTGTTTTCTAAGAGGGCTGGGTTTATATTTACAGAAACTACATATAAACATAATTAATATAATATACTTACCCTTAAATTATAAAACACTAATCACCCACGCTCTGAGACTCCTCCTGAAATATTCTTCGTCTTCCTGACTACGTTTTCAACGGGTTATACAGGGTGATTCCTGTAAGTCGGTCATGCTTTCGGGGAATGATAGAGGACGTCGAAATATTAATTTTGATATAGCACACTATGGGTCTGAAATGCCTCTTACGCAAGATACAGGGTGTTAAAGTTTTTGAAAAATTAAAGATATTCTTTAATCGTTTTTTAACAGTTGAAGGTATCGTTAAAAAAATGTATGATAGGAGTCTACCTAACAGAGACACTTTAAATGTAAAAAGAAGAGGTTTTAGTTTCAACCAGTGGCGTAGATGTGATACGCATCGGGTAATTTTTGCAAAAAAATAGTACACCACTGGTAAAAAATAAAATTTTTAGAGTTTTTTTATTTACTCGGTTTATTTCCAAGCAAAAATGTCTCTTGCAACTTTCTCCTATCTAATACCATTTTGTCACAATTTAAAAATAAATACATTTTTTAACGAGAATCTTAAATACAGCGAATTATTATAGAGGGCAGAAACACATGTACATCGTCAGCTTCCTTCATCATTTATGTTACATGTGAATTTAAAAATAGACCAAGGTTTAGCTCCTTAAATAAATTTTTAAAAAATTATAAATTTAAACTAGAAATTTGTTTATTGTTAATAATAAAATTCCTAGTTTTAAGGTAGTTATAATAATTCGCATATTTAAGGTTCGCTTTAAAAAAAATATTTATTTTTAAATTACTTATATTTTTTTCAGTGTAGGTTTTGTGTGTAGGCTCCTAGCTTGAATTAATACTCTTTTTCTCTTTTTATATTGATTTGAAGTAATTAAGGAAAAAAATGAAACAGTGGATAAAATCGAAGCATTTCTTTTGTAGATTGAACTGAAAATATAAAATGTTTACCGGAAAAACGATTTTTTATTCAAATATATTTTTATTTTCTTCTTTTTTGTCTTGATAAGGGAGTTAATTAGAAAAGTTTTAATTACGGTCTTTTATTCTTTTTGTTTTTTAAGTCGATTAGTAAATTTGCATGTTAGAGATCTTTCCGTAAATTGATTTTGAACACGGACCAGTGTTATCTATTTGAGATTATCTTTTATAATTTTCTTAATCTACTGCTGAATTATTTTGTTTTGTTTATAATTTAATAAAATTCTTTTGAGTAATTTATAATATACAAGGGGTCCGAACTGTATTCCGGAAACTTCGGCAGCATATTCTGCAGATAGAAATAAGTAAAACAGTTCGTATAAATAAAATATATGTCCTAAAATGCTTATATAGTTTTGGAGATACAGGGTGAAGAAGTTTTGTTTTTATTTCGATTTTTCCAAATCATTTCTGAAGTAATGTCAATATTTGGATGAAAATTGGTGTCTGGGAGTTTTTGAAATGAGAAATTTGATTTTGATGCTAATATGACTCCTACTTGTAGAAGGCGCCACCTACATGTGTTTTAACTGTTATGAAGTGTAATAACTTTTCGTCCGTACCTGTATAAAACTTCTTCTTCTTCTTTCTCAGCCTGGTTCCATCCAGTGTTGGATATAGGCCTCTTCTAGGTTTTCCATGCTTCGCGTCTCTAGCCAATCTTATCCATTGTCTTCCCGCCACTGCCCTGACGTCATCGATCCATCTCTTTTTTGGTCGGCCCACACTTCTTGTTGTTCCCCTAGGTCTCTATAGGATTGCTTTTTGGGGCCATCGGTCTGGATCCTATCTTGCCACATGTCCCATCCATTGCCACTTCAGACTTGCCACTCTTTTAACGACATCTATTAATTTTGTTTTTTGATGTATGTGGGTATTCCGTATTTTTTCCCTAATGGTGACTCCCAACATGATTCTTTCCATGGCTCTTTGTGCGACTCGTAGTTGTTCTGCTGTTTTTCGTGTAATTGCCATAGTCTCTAAGCCATACGTAAGCACAGGTAGAATGCAGCTGTCGTAAGCCTTTTTCTTTAGGTTCACGAGCACCTTTTTATCCTTGAAAATATCGCTCGTATTTCCAAATGCTACCCATGCCAAATGGATCCTGCGTTTGATCTCCGTATTTTGGTTTTCCTTGCCCAGCTTGATTTTATGACCTAAATATATATAATGGTCGACGTTTTCAATAATAACGTTGTCAACGGTAATGTTATGGATATTGTTGCTCATTATCTTGGTCTTCTTCAAGTTCATTTTAAGGCCAATTTTCTGGGATTGGTCATTTAGCTCATTTAGCATGGTGTTTAGTTCTTGAATGTCGGTGCTCAGCAAGACAATATCGTCTGCGAACCTCAGATGGCTAAGGTGTACCCCATCGATGTTTAGACCTCTATTTTCCCATTCTAATTTCTTGAAGACATTTTCCAGTGCCAGTGTAAATAACTTGGGAGAGATGGTATCTCCTTGTCTCACGCCCTTGCCGAGTAGTATTTTTTCTGTTTTGAGGTCATCATCTAATTTAACTTGGAAGGTTGCACTATCATAGATATTTTTAATAATGGAATAATATCTGGAATCAATTCTCGCGTCCTCCATTGCAGCTAGAAATGACCAGGTTTCGATGCTGTCAAAGGCTTTTCGACTTTTCCACGCCCACGTGGTGTAGAAAGATTAGTTGAGTGTTATCTTTCTTAAGTCTTATTTGGTTGTTCGTAATTGTAGAGCAAGAAGACCGATCCAGACCGTAGTACAGAACAGTCCAGAATTCCATCCGTTCCTGTTGCCCGTGTGTAGAGTTACCCGTTGGACATCATAAAGCCTCGTTGAGGTAAAGTTCAGATTTGATTAGTCCTTCTTTATTACCTGTATTAACTCCTACACGTTGTGCTAGTCCTTGTTCTATAATTGAGGCTCTTTTCTAAGACAACCAATATGATTTAGGGTTTTTATGTTCACCATTTGAAACCTCAACAACTTGCCTTTCATCTGTACGTCTGCTGACATCCGTGGGCTCCAGTGACAGTACACAGAGCTGCTGTACCCTGCTGTAGCCACCTCATAGCTATACACCGTAGCTCAGCCGGAGGAACATCCGAGTTGTTTCAAGATTGTACATCCATTAGAGTAAGACTGTTTAGATTTAGATTTGCTATTTATAAACCACCCTGACTGTATCTAGTATAAGTTAACTAAGGGGGTTTGACGTCATAGGTTTAGTTCTTATTGATTTACATACTGATTTAACATACATTTTCAGTCATTTACATTCATTTTTCATTTTCTATTCGTTTTTATATATCCTATTTAACTTTTAATGTTTTAATAAATTGCTTAAATATTTTTAGTAGTATTATTTACAGTCTAGTCTCATAGTTAAGTTAGAGTCACTTAAGTTCAAGTAATTGTAGTATATTTGAAGTTCATGGTAGTTACACACAACAGTTCGAGGTTAGTGTTAAAGTCTACTTAATAGTTACATCTTTTATGCCGAGTTCATAGAGTATAATCTCGTGGCGCCCTTTTATTAATATCTTTGAACCTCGACCACCCGGCTGTTAAAATTAAAAAGCTAGTGGCCTCTATGCAATTCATCCTAATTAAGTAAACTTGTGTTTTATTGAACTTCAAATTAGAAAGGGCGTGACAACGGGACCTACAGTTTATCGCCGAATCCGAACGGCACTATTTGAGAGGCTGTACTAGGCAAATATACTCAAGGTGGTTTGCCATTGTCTTCTTTGAGGTGGCGGCTCGCTTTTTATTTAAATAAATAAAGCGACCGTACTGGCTGATGATCGAACCCAGTACCATCCTATCTCTCACACCGCAGGTCGACACACTAACTGCTTGCGCTACGGCCGGCTACACACAACTTTCTTCTTACTTAAATGAAGGAAAATCTTTGATTCGGTCCTAAATCCTGAGAAATTACTTCGGGTGTCTTAAACCGTTGAAGGGTTTCCATTCCAGATTACGGATGGTGCCTTCCAGGTTATGAGTTTCGCTTAAAGTTGGTTTCCTTTTGGGAAGCAGAACGGTTCTGGTTCAGTTAAGTGATCGCTCTTTTTCTAGCAAGATCGTTTGCTTTTTCATTACCTTCTATCCCTTGGTGGGCTGGCACCCCCAATGGCAAAGGAATACTTTATTTTCTTTGCCTGATTTGTTTAGTTTCTCTAGGAATTCTTTAACGAACTTCGATAGTTACTGAGTAGGGTGAATGTACCATTAGTCGCCACTGTACCAGTAATTGCCACTCTTGGCTCAATTAATTAGAAAACAAGCAAACTCTTTGAAATATTTTCTAATACGCCATCTCTTATTTAAAATTTGCCCTTTAGAAATAAATATCTCAATGGAAAGATTTCTAATAGATGTCGGGTCTGAGTCAGTTTTTGCTCCAAAAATTGCGCGCATTTATCGTTGTAGGTTATGTGCTGTGGCTTAACTGATTTGTTAAGGTAAGAACTTGTTTGTATTGCGTAATTTTACCCTTTAATAATAATACAGTACATTTTATTTATGATCTGGATAGTATTAGAGGGCCATATTTTATGGTTAAATAATTGTTTTTTTAATAAAACTACGTTTTTACATTTTAAGATAGGGTGGCTATTACTGGAAATTTGAAGTGTTAAATTTCCAGTAATTGCCACACCGTGGCAACTACTGGGTTTGAAAAATATTTTAAAAAAGTTTGGTTAAAATAGCTTATGACAAAGCAAACCATATGCATTTACGGCAGTAAGAGCAAAATGAAAATATTCTTCGTAAAACCAATAGTTGCCAGGGGGTGGCAACTATAGGTTATGGGTATGGCAATTATTGGTATTTTCAGACTTTTTATGAAAAATGGCCCAGCCACCAGGAAGAAAACCGTTTTTTCGCTATACGACGGAGGCAATGAAAAATGCAATTTCTGATGTTCGTCATGGCAGTTCAGTTAAATCAGCCGCAAAAAAATTCGACGTTCCAAGGAGGACTCTCGGCAACAAAGTCAATGGGAAAACACCGGAAGAGAGAAAAATGGGACCCTCTACCATTCTAACGACCGAAGAGGAAAAACGTTTAGTTAGTTGGATTATTTCGATATCTAGAATGGGCTTTCCTCTAGTTGAGGATGATGTCCTGACAACAGTAAAAAAAATTATGTCAAACACCGGAAGGGATAATCCTTTTAATAACAACAAACCTGGTAGAAAATGGTTTACTCTCTTTATGAGAAGACACAAAGAAGCACTCGCCAAAAGAACTCCAGAGCAATTAGGTGGAAACCGAGCCGTTGTTACAGAGGAAAAAATTCGAAACTGGTTTGCAGAAGTTGAAGCTACTTTGAAAAGTGAAAATGTGTTTAACGTTCTCAAAGATCCAAGCAGGATATTTAACTGCGATGAATCCGCTTTCCAGATATGCCCAAAAAGTGGAAAAGTTATTGCTCCAAAAGGGGAACGGAACGTTTATGAGCTTACAAAAGGATCGGATAAAGAATCGCTCACAGTATCAATTTGTATTTGCGCAAACGGAATTATTTTACCGCCATTTATTGTATATTCATACAAAAGAATTCCCGCAGATATTGTGAGAAACATACCTGATGACTGGGGTGTAGGAAAAACAGACAATGGCTGGATGACTGGAGAGTCATTTTTTGAATATATCACTAACGTGTTTTTCCCATGGTTAAAACAGAATAATATTAACTTTCCTGTTATTTTATTTCTAGATGGCCACACTTCCCATCTAACATTAGAAGTTAGTGAATTCTGTGCTGAAAACAAAATAATTCTAGTAGCTCTCTATCCAAATGCAACCCATATACTCCAGCCATGCGATGTAAGTGTGTTTAAGCCGATGAAAACATCTTGGAGAAAAATCGTACATGAATGGAAATTTAATCATCCTCAGGAAACTCTTAACAAAGCCACCTTTCCCATTCTTTTTCAAGAAGTGTTTCAAAAAGTTAGTCCAGAATCTGCAAAGAATGGATTTAAAAGATGTGGCTTATATCCATGGTCTCCAAATGAAGTGGATTTTTCAAAATGTTTAAAACAGCCAAATATTATGATAGATGATGATCAAAAAAAAATACTTCAACAAAACCCCCAAGAAATGAAAACATGTTTGAAAACTTTAGAAAAGCACATACCTGAAGATACTCTAATAGAATTTAGGAATACATTAGAAAGTTTGGAAGACTGGAATGGGGATGTTGCGTTTAATGAGTTATTTAAAGTTTGGCGAAAATTAAAAAAAGAGTGTGAGGAAACAAAAGAAGCAAAGAATACAGCACCATCAAGTACTTCACAATCTGAAAACTTGTCAAATTCAGGTTTAGAAGGGCCAAGTACTTCAAAAGAAATAGAGATGCCTGAAAATGTGCCCGTAAAAACCAATGTTATAGTGCAACAAACTCCAGAAAAAAATGTTCACGAAACAGGTCAAATGTGCGTAGGCGATTCTAGCTCAGAATCTCCTTTTTCAAAAGCAATAAAATGGCCAACATCAGCGGTTTCAGTGACAAAAGCTAAAAGAAATCTTGTTAAAGTACCATCAGTTGTGACGTCTAAAGAGTGGAAGAAATACTATGCCAAAAAAGAACAGGAAAAAGTACAAAAAGAACAAGAAAAAGAAAGGCGAAAACAGGAAAGAGAACAAAAAAGATTGCAGAAAATCGAGGATGCTAAAGCAAATAATAGTACAAATAATGAAAAATTATCAAAAAAGAGACCTTTATATGAAGACACTTCAACATCAGAAGATGAATCAATTGTGTATAATGAAACTTCAGACGAATCAGAAATGTTTGCATCTGACGAAAACTACGAAAATCCAGATACATCTGAACATATTTGCAATAATATTGATATTAAATTAGAATATTATTATGCAATATACTATGAAGAACAGTTTTTTATTGGAAGGGTAATAAAAATACAAAATGATAATGTAGAGATAAAATTTTTGAAAGAAAGATTAGAGAACTCATTTGTATGGCCCCAAAATCCAGACCTGGATTTAATACATAAGAAATACATATTTTTTGGACCAATACGGCTGTTTGGAAATGAACCGTTCTATATTGAAAACCACGTTCTACGAAAAATTAAATCTGTTTATCGTTTGTTGAAAATTAAAAAACAATTGTAAAATTACATATTAAAACTATGTTTTAATAATAAGTTTGTATTCGATTTCTTATTTTTTTAATAAATACTTGCTTACTACTATTTTGATTTTATTTAAAAAAATGTGTTGGAAGTTAAAAACCTACATTTAATTATAATTCTACTAGTAAGTACATGAGTTTCCCATGTGGCAATTACTGGATTTTTAAGTGTGGCAAATTTTGGAATAAACAAAAATTTCTAGTGGCAATTAATGGTTTTTTTTATGCCGTGAAAAAAAAATAAAAAAAATATTTTTTTTGCCAGAAATAAAAGATACTTATATATAGATGTTAATAATAAAGGGCTGCTTGAGTGTCTAAACCAATCCAAACTAGTATATTTAGTTATTTAAAAGTATAGTAATTAAATATTGAAAATCCAGCTCTTAAAGTGGCAATTACTGGTACATTCACCCTAACCTTTTTTTAAGAAGAAGACTGGTATTTTATTAGTTTTGTGGTTATATTTTAGGGATATATTGCTTTACTTTATATGGTTGTGTTTTATTAGAATCTATACATCACTGTTGATGTTTGTTATATCTATATTATTATACGCTGCGGTCTTTAAATATTTACAGCCTAAGTGTAAAATGGCTTAGGGGCAAATACGATTTAATTGATGCAACATCTATCAACTTGTGAATAGGCATTATTGACAATACAGCGAGATAACTGTGTTTACTGATATGTCTGTGGATGTTTGAAAGGTTTGTTATACGGTTCATTGGCATCTCAAGATAACACACTCCGATTGGACATAGGGCGCCAGTGCTCTAATAAATATATTATAATACAGGGTTGTTTCATTTAATGGGAAATTTAAAATACTTGATATGGTTGAAGCTATAGGGATCAAAATGTTATATTATTTAGAAAACAATGACATATTATATTTGTATACAGGGTGCTACAAATTCGAGGTACGAGCATTGTTATCTCGGAAACCGTAATAGATACGAAGATAGTTAAATTGGGGCAAAGTTGGGATGCCAAGACACCATCAAAAAAGTTTCAAAAAATTCAAGGATTGTTGAGTTTTTTGACAAAAAAAAAACGGATATTTTAGTTACTTTTTTAGAGAATCAAAAAACTTTTTAGAGAATCAAAAAACTAATTGCACATTCTCATAGCCACTTTATTAGGGCTATTTGATAGTATGATATATCTGATAATTTGTGAGGTACAGAGACCAACTTAATCTTTTTAAATACGGACCTGCATTTTTTATTTCAAGTTTTGAAAGAACTCGGTCTCCCGAGTACAACGATATGCCATACTTTATACTTTTTTTTTTGTTTTGGGTACTTTAACAACAACAAAGCTATTTAATTATTATTTATACTAATTTTCTTTTTTTTTCCATAACAAGGGGCCGTCCTCTGCCGGAAACACTGCGACCTGTGAGGCTATACTAATTTTAAGTCCAGCTCTGTTTTTTTTTTAATTATTTAATCTGACTATATTTATTGCAACAATATTGATCAGCGCTAATTAACATTGAATCAGGAAAATCGAGCCAATTGAAATAAATAATATCCGGATCAGCAATTTAAAGATATTATTCTTATTTTTTTGTGAATCTGGGGAAATTTCAGTGTACGATCTAATAATATGTTTTTTATTTATAACTCTTTGAACAGACCTTCTTCTTACACTTCTGAATGCATTTTGTACTGTTTATTGTAATTGTTGAGATGTAGTGATTTTACTTTTACAAATGACGTCAAGTAATGCCCCCCACCGCCCCTTGGTCCAGAAGGTCCAGAAACCTCGCTGGTTAACCATTATACTGCTCTACCCTCTACCATTTCCAATTCAACTTCCGGAGGAATTATTTGATTGTTTATATTATATTTATAGTATTTATGTTATATTATTTTATTGCATTTGAATGTTTTTCAATGTTTTATCCCACGTCATTGTTAGGTTTGAAAGCTAATCAATATTGTAACGATGGATAGATTAAATATTTAAAAAAACAGAGCCGGACTTAAAATTAGTTTAAATAAATTGTGTTCAAATGTCCGAAACAAAAAAAATATTAAGTGTGCATATCATTGTATTCAGGAGGCCGAGTTCTTTCAAAACCTGAAATAAAAAATGCAGGTCCGTATTTAAAAAAATTAAGTTGGCCTCTGTATCTCAAAAATTATCAGCTAATTTGAAAATATAAAAATACTATCAGATAGCGCTAATAAAGTGGCTATGAGAATGTGCAATTAGTTTTTTGATTTAAAAAGTAACAATAGGAAAAAATAAAATTGATTTTCAAAAAAATCCGTTCTTTTTTTTTTCAAAAAACTCAGCAGTCCTTGAAATTTTTAAAACTTTTTTGAACATCCCAAAGCGCAACTTTGCCCCAATTTAACCATGTTCGTATCTATTGCGGTTACCGAGATACCAATGCGAGTATTGGTATCGAGGTACGAGTACGAGCAGGGTTGGCATGATTTAAATCAAATGATTTAAATCATGATTTAAATCGTGATGTAAATCAAGTGATTTTTTTTAATTTTAATCGTGTGATTTAAATCAAAAGAATAATTTTATTGAAACTTTATAATAAATAAAAAAATAACTGTAAAAGTTATAAAAATGTATCCTAGAAAACTAGAAAAAATATTTCTATAATAGATATTATAACAGATAATAAATCGAAAAATAATTGTACATGTTATAAAATTATATAAAAATATCTATTCATCAATTTAAATGTTGGATCGATTTTTGAAGTAATTTCGTGTGAATCCATTAGACCGCTAAATGCAGGGATTTATTTTAAAATGTATGTATAGGTGACATAAATTTGCTGTTCGAATACATATCACTCGCAAAGTCTAGTGTAGAACTAGGTTCTTCTTATATAGAGACTATCTCTTCATTCCCGAGAATCTATAATCGTTGTCAGAAAATGTTTTGTTTTATTTTTATTTTTTTTGAAACGGTTGTATGTTTCCAAATTCCTACCAATATTTTGATCTGCAGTACAGGGTGGGTCAAATTCGACGCTTTTAAATGGAAACACCCTTTTCTATAGGAGATAGACGAAAACTAATATCAGTGTCTGGAGCTCAATTTTCATCAAAAACATGCACATCAATATCTGTTACCGTTTCGGAGTTACGGGGTGTTTTTCAAAAATGTGCATTTTTAACAAACCACTGTAACTTTTTTGCCATGGAAAATTTTGTATTTCTATGAAAACATTCCCAAAGCACCTTTTTACGTAGAATTTAATGGTTTAAGCATAATTTTTTTTAAAATTAATAATTTAAGAGTTATCAACAGAAAAATTGATTTTTTATTTGGAACACCCTCTATATTTTTAATTAACTGAAAAGAATTTAAAATTACCTTTCCCACACTTGATATTTTGTTATAATCCCCTTCGAAATACAGAATTTTTAAAAGTTCGCCACTTTTAACTAGTAGGCTTTGGACCCCTTATTGATGATATGCCCTTAATGGAACTCGAAAACATATTTTTCCAGCAAGACGACGCACCGCCTCTGAACGCTGAAGTTATCAGCAAATTTTTGCAGCCAATTTCAAGAATAATTGAATAGCTAACAAAGATCCCATCCGTTGGCTGTCGAGGTAGGGTTCCCAACCGTCCCGGTTTGACCGGGATTAACCAGGAATCAGAAAGTTTGTCCCGGCGAAAATTTTACCTTGGCCGGGATCAAAAAAATCACATTTACATATAATATATTTGAATTTCTAATATTTAATGTTTTGTTTCATTATTTAAAAACTTAAAAATAATAGTCCCGGAATCGCCGATGCTCAAGTTGGGAACCCTATGTCGAGGTCGCCTTACTTACCATGGATCTAATCCTATGGATATATTTGCGGAAGACTTGCCACTTATAATAAAAATCTAGACAAGAATTAGAAATACTTAGCAGTTATGCGAGGGTATCTTTCATCTCCACTGAGTTAATGAATTCCGCGAGACATGTTCAAAAACTGCCCCATCTGTCCATAACAGAAGACGTTCGATATGTCAAACACCTGTAGCAAAACCTCATGTCGTGATTTGCTATTTATTTTTATTATTATTAGATATAGTTTAAATGTGTTGATGTTGGTTAAATATATGTTTAATGGTTATAAAATTCTGCAGCTCTCATAGCAAATATTAGTTTCGTTTTAATTGATGCTCACAGCTAGAATTTTTTTGCATTACAGCCGGTGCCGTTCAAAGCCTACTTATTTAAAGCGGGCGAATATTTATATACTCTATATCTCGAAGAGGAATCGAGCAAAATATCAACTGTGTTATATTTTTGGAAAGATAATTTTAAATTTTTTTCAATAAATTAAAAATATACAGGGTGTCCCATGTAAAAAATCAAATTTTCTGGTGATAATTCTTAAATTATTAGTTTAAAAAAAATATACTTAAACCATTAAATTCTACGTAAAAAGGTGCTTTGGAAATGTTTTCATAAAAATACAAAATTTTCCATAGTAAAAAAGTTACAGCGATTTGTTAAAAATGCATATTTTTGAAAAACACCCCGTAACTCCGAAACGGTAACGGATATCGATATGCGGTTTTCACCATCATGTTTTTGACAAAAATTGAGCTCCAGACACCGATATTAGTTTTTGTCTATCTCCTATAGAAAAGGGTGTTTCCATTTAAAAGCGTCGAATTTGACCCACCCTGTACATACTATTTCTTTGAAAACATTTCAAATAATTTTTTAATCAATTTATAACTTTGCAAATAATATGAACAGTAATCGAGCAACAATTCACTCGTTGAATTTGACACTTAATATCAGTTTAATAATATATATTTTGCACTTTGTGCTTAGGCGTAACAGTGCTTTACTTTTATGCCTAGGAGTTAAAATGTCAAAAGTTAATATTTTTGAGATGTTTGAAAATAATTCGATTTGGTTCGATTTGAAGCGAGTGACTTTTTTTGCGGAATATATTGGTGACCGATGTGGAAAAATGACACGCGCTGTAGAATTGTTAATGTTATCGGTATCATGGAAATAAGTCCTAGTCATTTGGAAATCCGATTTAAACATTGTTTTGAATTAAAATCAAAAAAAATCTGATTTAAATCAAAAAAATCTGATTTAAATATAAAAAAAATCTGCTTTTTTTATTTTTTTTTTTAAAATGATGATTTTTTCTAACCCTGAGTACGAGGCTTCGAGGTACGAGTACCTCGAATTTGTAGCACCCTGTATATTATTTAGAAATCATATTATATATATAATATAAATAATATAATATAAATAATGGTGTTTTAAAACATTTGTTTTTAAGCAGAATATTTAAAACATACCAAACCTGGATTTCAGATAGCAACTCAACAAGATAGCAACACCTGACTAAGATAAGAAGAAAAAATACAGATGAATAATTTCATAATAAGTTATGAAT